GAATTCTCATACTGCCCCAACATACCCAGGTTTTGACCCCTGCTAAGGATCTCATTGATTGGCATATCAAAGACAACCCAATCCAACACCTAGTGCAGTACCATAATCGAGTCTAGGGGTTAGGTGTAACTTTCCAGTTTTGCCCATCTGTCTCCAAGGTCCAGGGCATAACTGGAAAATGGTCTGGTTCAGGGTTTCAAGCAAACCCACACTACATGTGCTTCAGGTCTCACCCTGGTAGTTGAGACAAGCCACCCCAACCGACTTGGCAACACATTAGTGTTAGCCTTGGTAGGATAAACCTTCCCAGGTCTATCCAACGGTTGTGAAGATTCTAAACTAACACGAGTCTCTTAAGTGTCCAGTTTAAGGGTATTACACAGAAACACACCATATATAATACAAATCAATTATGTACTATTAGTCATTTACAATAAATGCACCAGTACATCAATCTGATTGGAGCTAAGGGCATACACTGTCTAACATTCCTTTGCTAGTGATGGCCGGCTATGAGTGCCTTGTACTCGGCTTCGTTGTTCGAAGCTCGGAATAAAAACCGGAGCGTGTACTGCAGCTTTACTTTGCTTTGTTTGTAGAGGATTTACCCAGCTCCGCTTCCGCTCTGGTTGGACGAACCGTCCACGTGGAGGATCTGTTGACACATGTTGTTGTACACATGTTTAGTACCGCAACGGTACTTTTGTAATTTCTTCATACTTTATGTTGTACAACCAGCCTAGTATAAATAATAACATACTGCACACGCCTGCAGTGTTCTTTTGGGCTCTCAGTCCTCTCGCCTCTCCTCTCTTTCTCTTCTCTTTTCTTGCTCAACATGGTATCAGAGCAAGTCGTCCAGGCCTGAAGGGTGATGTCAAGCAAATCTGGTTTGTTCATCCTCCAATGTCGAGCAGTCAGTCTCTACATCTCCCAGCCGTATCTATTTGCTATTCGACCTGAAGCAAGAAGATGCTTGCCTGACTTTTCATCTTCTAGCGCAGAAAAGAGTTCTGGTTATAGAGAGTTTTCTATCTGATGTTCAAAGAAGTCTGCCAACATTGACTGTTCGGCTGTAGAGAGGCTATCATTTGATGTTCGTAGAGAAAGTTTTGGTTTATAGAGAGGCTATCATCTGATCTTCAAGAAGGTATTATCTACTGGCCATCTACTGTTCGGGTGCCCTGATATTCAACTGAAGTTTTTTTTTTTTTTTTTTTTTGTATTCCTTTGCACCCATTGATGGACTGTTGATGCCCTAATATTCGACTGTGGTGTTCCTTTTTTTGTGCTACTGCTGTTTGGATACCCTGTTGATGGACTGAAGTAGCTCTTTTTTTTACTTCGATCTCATTGACTGTTCGGCTGCCCTGAAGTTGGCACTGTTCCAGGTCTGCCGATTAGGTGTGTGGTGAACTTCACCTTGCATCTTCCATTCTGTTGAGGGGTCATATGATCTCTGTAAAACCGTAGGTCATAAAAACCTGTTTATGTACT